TGATCTTTCCCAATGGCCACTCCGGCTGCGAGTTAAATCCAACCAGTGGCGAAGTGGCCGGAGCCAAGTCTGTCTTACGGAGTTTGAGCTGTTTGAACGCATCATAGTACATGATCTCGACCGAGCTTCCCTGGTCGATCAAGATCCGTCTAACATCAAATTCTTTGACGCGTAGTGTTACTACAAGAGCATCGTTGTGCGGCGTCTGGATACGCTCTAAATCCCTTGAGGTGAAACTAATCACATCTTTCTCCTCTGTCTTCCCCCTTTTGATGGCGGGCTGTACTGACAAAACTTCCCTCATATGCTCTGCCTTCTTGATCATGCCCCGGAGTTCGCAAACACGCTCCGGTTCCACGATGCCGTGGATGACATTAATAACTCCTTGTGGTGGTGCATCTCGGTCATCCTGTCCCCTGGGATCGACAGGAGCCTGATTCGGTTTCACGCCGCCATCAATGTATAGGTCCAGATGCCCGGCCGCAACCAGTTCTGTTGATCTAAACTTAGGATTCATCTTGGCCCTTAAAACCAAATGTATCTCACATACATTTTAAGACATTTTCAAAATCCCTCTTGCCTTATTATATAGATTTTAGACTAAAATATAACTATTAACTCCATTAATTATAAATGTAAACTGACTATAATACTTTCAAAATTTTTATTTTTTATTTTTTTATTTTTCCTCATCTTTCATACATATAATTTTTAAGAGAGAGATTTCTCTCTAGTTCACTGTGTGGACTGGAGCGCACTGTTGGATCCGTGGGGCCTATCACAGGCTCTGTTTCGATAATTTGAACTATACAATGTGTAAAACTCATAGAGTACTTTGTGCTTATAAAAAATCACGTTACTCGAATATCAGTAGCCGCTTGATCAGAAAATATTTTTGTTAATAATTTATTTTTAAAATCATATTTACCATTGACAAAAATGTGTTTCAATTAAGGGGCTACCGATATCCAATTAACGTGATTTTTTACAAGCATGAAATACTCGACGAGTTCTACATATTAAACGGTTCGAATTATCGAAACGAGACCTATGGTGAGTTTGTATTTAGGAAAATTTTCTTGTTATTTGCTTAAGAATGTTCAGTAACTAAAACAATACTCTATCACAGATAGGTTTTGGGGATAAAAGAGAGAGGACTCTGAACTGGAGCTTTTTGTGAGAGAGAAGAGAAAAAGTAGAGATATTTTAAATTCTAAGGCTTTTTTATCCCATGATGATCTAACGGCCAATATTAAGCAAAATGGACTGGTGTTAGATCTCTAGTAGCTTTTGATCAAACAGCCAATATTAGGCAATCGAACAACATTATCAAAATGTAGCATTCGCACTGTTAAGGTAACATTGTCAAAAATAGCATTTTTACATTGGACCATGTCAAATTATGATTTAAACATTATCCTTTTGATATAAATAGTCTATTTTATAATATAAAATGTGATATATTCACATGTTTTTCAATATCTGATAAAATTGATTTTTTAAACAAATGACCTTCATTGCAAAATTTATGAGATGAACCATTTGGATTACTGTTATGGACCTAAAATGAGATTCAGGAAATAGAATATTAAGGGATATAGAAGATAATGATATGAAGATGATCCATTCCCAATATAATAACCTAAATCAATTCTGAACTGGCCATCTTTTTGCTTCTTTAGATATTATAATCAATGTTTATTGTTTATTGTCAAAATAAATTTGATAAA